GGAAAGAGAAGAGAATAGCCAAAGACCAAGAGAATTAAATGGCTGGGCAACTATGTCACTAGGAATGATCAGCTATAAAACAACTCCATCATGTGTACAAACATACACACACAGAGTACAGTGTGCTAATGTGTCATTTATGGGTGTGTGTAATATTTGTTTACTTTTAAATCAGAGCCATTATTATATGGAAGCAAATCACCTCACGAAACTGGAGAATGTATCTTCTCCGGTCTTAGTAGAGCATATTTCTATCTGAACCAGACCTGGACCTTACAAACTTATATTATATAATGCCCAAACCTGACACAAGCCAAATGCAGTTCCGTTTGTATGGTGTTTTCCAGGTCTGTATTCCTGTATTACTATGCAACTATGTTGCTACATTTTCTGACAAAAAGAAGCAACTTCACTTATTCCAGTTTGACCCTTTAGCATATACAACCGACTGACTGTGCTGTCAATCCTGCCAAATGGCAACGATGACTGGCTCATATTCTGCAGTTCAAACAATATCAGTCAGCGTGGTACTGGGTTTGTACAGAATGGTGCACACACAAACGCACGTGGCTGTTGAGATTGTCGCCAGGAAGCTGTTAGGTTGTCATACATCAACCATTAAAGCCTTCACACCTACCCAGAGCTTTCCACATGGCCTTAAGCATGACCCTTCAAGGAAATGAGCCCCCCACCAAAGAGCTGCAGGACAGAGAGGTGGGAGCAGCCTGCAGCCTTCAGTCAGACCCTGTTCTCTGGGCCAAAACCACAGGTGTTTATGACCCCACGGCCCTGGATAAGCATCCCAAAAGGCTTTGCTATGCGCGGGTGTTTGTGTGTATATTCTGGGTGGTGTGATGTGAAGGGGTATTGTGTGTAATCTGTGGAGTGTTGAATGACTTGTGTCCCATGTGTAATTGGGTCACATTGCCAGAGATTAGCGTGGGTTCAACAGTGAAACTGAGCTTCATTCTAGGAAGTCTGCAGTGGGCTGGGTGGACAAATCAGCACAGGGATGCAGCAGGGGGTCAAAGAGTCCGAGGCTGCTCCCTCAGCTCTTTTCAAAGGTCACGTTGATGTAAAATGCTCCTGACCAGTATCTATGGCAAGTATCACAGGCAATTTTATCCCTGAGTAGCATCTATATGCCAGCATTATATTTAGACTGTGGTTGAGCAGAGGAAAGATTGAGGCTGCACATACACAGTATTTTAGGTGGTCTAGACTACTGAAGATACTGTTTTCTCTGTCTCTACTGAACCCACCACTGTGCCCTCTGAGGCTGCTCCTACACTGAGTGACACAGTAGGGGGCATGTACTGTAGATATGATTTATACTGAAAAGAAAAGGTGAGGTTGTGCTGCAAACACATGGCTCCTAGGAAGTGGTGCATCACCAGGGAGTTAGAGGCATTTAGTTTAATTTGTACACTTAGAACTTGAGGAGCAAAGAAAGTATAAGGAGGCACTGAATCTGAATCATGTTTTTAAAGATGCTGTAGGTGAATAAGGGGTGTAGGAGCTGCTTAATTCTGCACTGACAAACGTTTCTTATTGCTCACTGATTTGATGCTCCACAAATGGCAACTTGGCCTGAATAAAAATTATTTTGTGGAGCATCAAATCAGTGTGTGGGCTATAATCTTTGTACTCTACTATTACTCCTTGGCCTATGCACCTAATGCAAAGACGTTCTGGGGGAGGTGCACACACTTCTCTTAATGTATTTATCAAACTTTTCTTCTCACCTTAGTTTTTCAGCGTACCAGCAGCGTGGGAGGGAAAATCTGATTTCAAGGGTATAACTCTACGACAAAGGCTATATTGCTCTACCTATGCTAGCTTACTGCCTATTCCCGGACTTAGCATGACCAGTTTTGCTCAGTACAAACCACAGAATCAAAGAAAGTATAATGATGCGTGCTTGTCATTCGGCAGTACTTTTATAAACAAATGCCCAGATGAATGAGAACTTTGAAAGGTGATATGAACCAGGTATTGGATATTGGCAAGAAACAGGGAAATGTGAGAACAGATAGCATGCTTGCTAAGATGGGACTTGTTTTCCCACTGGGATTCTAATACTCAGCAAGCTAACATAAGGAGACCAAGCTTTCCAGCATTATGTGGACAGTATGTCCTGTCTCTGTATATGCATACAAGTGTATTATTGAGGATTATTTTACATGCTGTGACTGTGTGTGTGTGTGTGTGTGTGTTATGAGCATGTTTTACTACTGTATGTGTGTGTTTGTGCCTGTGATATTGGAGAACAGCATGACAGTGAGCTGTCTGTCATCTAGCAGCTTAATGTACCAGCACTGCCAAGGCAGGTTCTGCCAGACAGATGGACTAAAAGATCAGTAAGAAAACAGTGTCCCGGACATCTGCACGAATGCCGTTACAAAGTTGGCAACACAGCAGCAGAGCTGCAGCCTTCTGGCCACTGCTGGGCACCACAAGACTGATGCTTCTCTTCAGATAAATGACTGGGTGCAAGAATGACAGAGCAAAGTTCTATGTGAAAAACTGTGGATCCTTAGCCTTAATTCCATGCATCTTACCGTAGATGCTCTGGTTATTTTTTGTGACTATTAGGTTAAGCAGGCAGCAAGATCGAAAGGCTACAGAAATCCTTTTTAATTCCAAATGTAACATCTGTGTCTCCTATTCATCTACTGGCGTATGAATTAAGAGAAAAATATTTTAGGGCTTTTCACAAGGCCATTCTCCAAATCATAGAGACTCATCAAAATTTGCTGATTGCTGTAACTTAAGGGATAAGTTCGATCATTTTCTATATTAACCATATTTTCGACACTCTCCATACAGTGACTAAAACCGACAATGAATCACCTTTACTGACAGTTAATGTCAAGTTTGTTTCCAACCTGGATTAGCTTATTTGTCTGTGCCATAGACCTCCATTGTTGTTCAGAGACGATTAAAAACACTGAAACACACTGCTGCACTAGGTGACGTGGTTCTTCTTTACAAACCGGCATACTTGTTAAAAATGTTGTATCAGAACAGTCACAGCTTCTCACAGTCTCTGAAGTAGCAAGAGTCAATGGCACCTGTGTGAAATCAATGTGTGTGAGGAGCTAATGTGACTAGCACACTGTAAACAAAGCCAGCCAGCCCAACAAAGCCCTGCCTTGTTTGTGCACAGCAAAAACATATAGCCCCCATATTATATTAAATAATATATATGGATGGACATTTTACTTTGAAGCTTTATTTAACCCACTATCATGGAGGTCATTAGTCAGAGACTCAGAGCCCCTCCTTAGCTGGCATTAGATGGTTAATGGCATATTACTAATAAACAGAAAGCAGGTTGCTGACTGTTGTAGCCAGGTATATTTATCAAAGACAGATATACAGGCTCTCATGAAGTAGTGATATTAAATCAGGTGACAGGGACTAAGTTTGACTTGAGTGGGAGATTTGGGAAAGGGTAACAAGTGCAATATGGCAGACCAAAACTATTCCCCCTGCCTATTGTGTTTACATTACAAGCCTGCACAATTAACATCAAAATGCTCCAGAACAAACACCTGGTCCACGATGCCTCCTTGACCACATATTACAATACAAGGCCAGAGCTTTCGCAGCCTTATTCCTGTCTAATACAACATAACTGCATGAAAAAGATTTCTAAAGAAGAACATCTATCTGAAGACAAACTGTATTTTAAGTTAACACAACACCTAGGACAGCTAGAGCAATATAAAGTATTATTTTTAGCAGTAGCTTGTGTCAGCAGAGCAAAGCAAAATTCTCTGGTGGTGTGGATATTAAAAAGTCTGTGTGTGTATTTGCAAGAAAGCAGTGTCAGTGGAACAATGCACTATAAATAGGGCTCCTCAGTGCTAGATATAACCGTCCAGAGGCCAAGGGGGTTGCCCTTTCACTAAGCCAGACACTCACATGACCTCATACCTCAGTGAGTGGTGCTCCAGCTAAGCTTCCACTGTAACCTTTGTCAGCTTAGCATTTCCTCCAGTTTTCTGTTATAAGCCCAATGGCAGCGGGCAGAGAGGGTCTTAATGCCTAACTGTATGAGTGAACTGCTGAACAGAGGTTTCATCCTTTGTCCCTCATAGACCCAGATGATATGTATGTTAGGCTAGTTAGTTCAAAATGGATACTGTAATACAACAAGCAGAGCTTCACTGGCTATTTCTTGATTTCAAATGTAGGCAAAACACTCAAAATTGTAATAGGGGTGCTTCATGTTCTCACCCTGCGTTCATCCCTTAGCGCTAGAGATGAGTTAGGATGTTGTGCCATGTCTTGACCGTTGCTTCTCCCATCTGTTATACTGGGCATTAAGGGCCCGCCGAATGGTTCAGAAAAGCTACGCATCATCTGCCGCATATGGTCCCTGTGACTACGGAAAGAATCCCTGTAGGAGAGGATGAGGAAGTAAAGACAAAGTGAATCTCTGCATTCATTAAGGAATTCTATGTAATTCTACAAGATGATCCAGAGTACTGCAAACCATGACAAAAGCCCAAAGAGATTTTTTAAATGAATGAAAAAGTCTTTATAAATACTACACAGGTTAGGAGCTCATTAAAGTTCTTCACTGAACACAACACATTGAAATAAGAAGCACCTCTAAAATAATTCCTGCCATCATTACCCTCACCTTAGAAGTCTGGTCAAGAACTACCACCCTACAGTAATTCATCAGGTGTTCACTTGTACATTAAGTCAAAGAAACTGTGGCACAAAGTGTCAATGTAGATAGTCAGGGAATGATCAATTGATAATGTCTGTCTTTAAATTGTACTGGGAATTCATTTATTTCTTTCCTCAAATGATATACAAAGCTGAATCTAAATATAAAGTGGGATGGGCACAAAAAGTAACACCCGGTCCCAGCTGACATTTTATTTACACTTTAGGATGTAAAGTTATATAGAAATCAGTACCTGTTCGTACAGCAGCCGTTGCTAGGTAACAGTTCCACTAGGCTCTAACCTTTTCCATAAAATGTAGTTATTAGTACATATTAATATATTTTTAAACTGTAAATGAACTGGGTAATACATACAATTTAGCTACATCAAAACAAATCTATTGGAACACATTGTAACTAACGGTAACAGGTTATGGTTGTGTTACAACTAACTTAGCTATGACATGGAAATCCCATTTAATGCTTTAAACGTTACTGGTGGGCTACAAATCTAATTAGCCAGTAGTCAAAGTTAGCGTTAGACAAAACAATAAAGTAAAACTGCCGCTAAAACTGATATTTTCAGCAGCAACTCTTTCGTCTACCCAAATAATAACATTAGCGTTTTGTTTCATGCGTTATTTGGAGTTTGTTTGCATGGGGGTGTTAAAGCAGGGTATATTTTCATCGGGACAAACACTTAAACCCAGCGTTACACTGCTTCTGATCTTACTTTCGTTGATGTACTATGAATTATTAACCCAAATTAGAACCTACACTATTGTAACAATAACATATTTGATACAAGTTTAACGTTTACTCACGAGAAGAACGGATCTTCTTCAAAATCCCTGTGAATACTGTTGAACATTTCCACGGATTTTGAAACTGTAAACAAAAAATGAGATTAAAATTCTCAAGAAATAATTTGTGCCCAGCACAGGTGTTGTAGCTCCACCGACGACTCTCCGTAATGGCACTATGAGGTCCTACAATTTCATTTAGAGCTACTCTAAAACCGGCCACGTGGTACAAAGCCAGCCCTCTGATTGGCTGGTTATTCCAAACTTCAAACAGGTTGTCTGCAGGGTGAATGTTGTGGGTGGCTGCCATGGCAACGGGACTCTAGAAATTTCTTGAAAATCTACAATATTCACCACGCGCAAGCAAGATAAATTGGCCACGTGCTTACCAGACGTGTCCTCTGAGGGGCTATGTAACCTCTATTGAGCTAGGAAACTATAGAAACAGCAATGGTGTTGAAGGATAGCTTCACAAATTTTCAAGGACGTATCAAAACAATAGCGGGGTGCCCACAAACATCAGGCTTCCTGGCTGTAATTATTGCACTTGCCATACTGGGCATTAAGGAACCACTTTGTAACATGCTTTCGGTTTAAATGATGGGCGCACGCTCTACAGCCCTTCAGAGCAAAAATACTGTAGTGATCCTTCACTTGGCATGTTATGATGTTCTAAATTGTTATGGTTCCTTGATGGGTGTGGAGCTTCAGGGGTTAAAAGGCGTGAGAGCGGGAGGGAGAGAAGTGTGGAGGGGATTTGAGCTACAGAGGGTGTTAGCAGGTTGTTAATCTTTTTTCTTGGTGTTGTTGGGCTGTTGTTTTGGCGTGGTTACGGCCAACAGTAACCGGTTGTGTGGAGTTAATAAAAAAGCGACTATTCGTCGGCACTCACGGTTGTCTTCCTTGTGTCCTGCGGGACGCTACAACACATTCCAAAGCTTATCTGGGGCTAATGAGGCTTTAGCAGTTTATGGTTGACAATTTAAGTAAATACATTTCAAAATTACTGTATTTTTATAGGGGGAATGATCACAGAAAAAAAGCCTGTCTGAATTTACATATGGCATCTGGCTACTGCTTAAAGGCAGACTTGAAAAATTGTGAGCCTGTCCTTTCGGGTGAAGAAGAATTCACACAAGGCAAGTCCTCGGATTAAATTACTAGACAGATTTTTCCTGGTTGTTCTTCCTTTGGTTAACTAGGGTGTGAAGACATTTAGGACAGTCACCTGACATACGAGGAAGCCATACACACAGCTTTGACTCACTCCAATTAAGTATACTCACACCAAAAAAGCTTAAGTTTTGTACTCACCTAGGCCAATCATTTATACATTCTTATTTATTACTGGATTACAACACTGACTATTTAAAGGCTATGAGAATGACACACTGTGTCCCAGACTCGGTATAGATTTACCATCTGGCTGTTCCACAAATAGGCCTGAGTGGACTCCACACTGCCTTGAATCCCTGCTCACAGCAGCAACACAACATTGAATAAACAAAAACAGATGAATACTATATTTAAGAGAAGAGCACAGCAGAGCAGGGGAGTCGAGGTTTACACCAGGCTGATGTCAATCCCGGTGCAGACCCAAGAGATAAGGTTACCTCAGGGTGAGTCAAGGTACTTTTAGTAGGTTACTTTAAGGCAGGGTGACTCATTTATCTTTATCTATCTGAAGAGCTGCTGCCTTACTTTAAAAATTCAACAAGTGTCACAGGTTTTTGGTCAATTCAGTCCCAACTATAGGCTTATCTGCATAATCCACTCACAGAAGCACAAGACAGTTTTCACTTAAAAAATAAATCTGTCCTTATTTGCCAAGTTGCTACCGTACATCTTTATGGTTACACAGATCACCACATCTCATCTCCCTTTATTTAAAAAAAAATAATGCCAACAGCAGTTTTGAATTGAATTACATTAACACTAATAAAACAATAAGTACATCAAGACAAAAATCTGTTTATATGCTCAAGTTCTCACACATTTTCAGGGGTAAGAGAAATTAGTGGAAGAGTAAAGTAAGAAATGTTCTGATTTATTAAAACAAGACAGAATGTGACTGGGTCTGAGATCAATCAAAGCAAACTCGAAGGAGTGAATGAGGTGTAGATCTGGACTGAAGCTGTCCTGGCAACGAGAAGACGCATCTGAGTTTCTGGTGTTCTTTAGGTCACAGGACTTCCCATGAGTCTCTCCTGTCGCAGTGAGACCAATCTAGTAAGCCAGAGCTCCTCTGCCTTCTCCTTGTCCATGAACAACTGCAGGAGAGTGTAGAAAGGACATGTTAGCAAGCAGACAGACAAAGGTGCAGATGAGGACGGATACCAAAGGACCGGAGGGAACCACCAAGGGAATGCCAGTAGGCACGGTGGGCCTTGTTTTACTGTAGTAGTACTATCAAGCTCTGCATTCCAGATCCACTGCTGACTTATTTTGTTGTCTATGGAGTGTACTGAGATATATATAATAATCAAAGAAAAACAAAAACAACAATATCAGCTGAAAACTTTAGTCTGCTGAAAACCACAAAATAAAAACTGGATTTCTGGTATGTAAAAATTCTAAATTTTAGACATGAGTGAACTTGATAAGGGCCGTAGGTAATGTTTATTTTATTTAAATATCTTGTTTCATTTGATTCTTTGTCTAAGGAGCCCAAAAATATTCAAATTACTGTCATGTGACACAAGAAAAAGTAGCCTGAAAACCTGAAAGCATAAAATAAATAATAATAATAAATAACATTTTTTCCCTTGCAGAATGACTGAAACACACAAGGAGGGCATACACACAGTACCAAAGTAGCTACCCAATCATTTTTATGACATCTTTGCGGGTTTGCACTGACCGACAGCCAGCTCTCTTCATCTTTGTCCTTGAAACCCCTGAGAGTTAATCACAGTATACACCCATGCCATGACCAATACGCATATCATGGACAGATCTGATGTATCTAACAATACAGGGATGGAAACCTTTGTATGTTGTACATTTTGAAACCCACTTTGAGGCAAACCTTTGTTTTTGTTTTGAGTTCTATAAAAAAGTCACTTGAACAACACTGGTGCAACTTAATTCACAACACCAACATAATTCTAGTTTAAAGCTGCAGTATGCAACGTTGCAACGTTGCTCAAAGATCTGCTCCAATACTTGTCTTAATGTGGAAAGGTGCTGTCAAGGCCTGCTGTGACCCTGACTCGTTGAACAACACTGGCAGCAGTGCAGAGACATTCATTTCTACCGCTTAGTCCCTGAATGGGGTCACAGCCCCCCTGTGAATCGGGGCGAAGGCGGGGTACACCCTGGACAGGTCGCCAATCCATCGCAGGGCTAACACAGAGACGAACAACCACACACGCACACACACACACTCCTATGGGCAATTTAGAGACACCAATCAACCTAAGCTGCATGTCTTTGGACTGTGGGAGGAAGCCGGAGTACCCGGAGAGAACCCACGCAAGCACGGGGAGAACATGCAAACTCCACACAGAAAGGTCCCAGGTGGGGTCCGAACCCAGAACCTTCTCGCTGTGAGGCAACGGTGCTAACCACTGCACCACCGTGCTGCCCCCCGCACAGAGACATTAGCTTCTAAAAGGTTTTGAGCAGGGACTGACCTCTCTCACCAATCAGAGGTTTTCAATTATTTATTGATCAGTTAATTTTGTTGTATTCTCATTTCTTGTAATTTCCTAACGACAAATATCTGAAGAGCTGTGCAGAGTGTGTGTGGTGGTGAAAAAAAACTTAGAAAAAAATAATCTGGACTTGGTTTTAGGTAGAAGACATTTCACCTGGACAACTGAGGATTTGCACGGACAAGAGCGTGGTAGTGCATAGCAGACTGGAGTAGGGCAGAGTGGAGCAGGCACAGCGTTGTCAGTACTGGGCACTGACACCCATGTGACCCCAGTGTGGACTTCAGAGTCACAGTGATGATGATGATAATGGAATACTGGCATTTGACACATTTGTATTAGTCTTTCCCTGTCTACTCAGCTTCAAAGGCCTATGAAAGGCCGGCACATGTGACTTGGATTCAATGTGGTACATCAGCAGCAGTACTGATATTTATTGTAGGAAGGCTATAAAACTGCTGCTGCAAGTATCTGACGAATGAAGACATCTTATTATTAGGAAGTAACATAAGGACAATGAGACTGAGAAGCTTGAAGATCATTTCTATGTTCGCTGGGTGTGCTTGTGTGAGGGTGAGAGATAATGTTGACATGCTGACAATGTGTATATACGTACATTTATGTGATGATATGTGTATTATTATGCAGATTGTGGAGCAACCCTGGACAAGTCAATCTTTCATTCCTAACCTACGCCGCTTACAGCTACGCTGCATGTTATCTGTGTGTTAGATTCAACACTAGTGAGTTCTTGTCTGTCGGCTGTGCACTGGTTTCATGGTGCTAATGAGACTGTGTGTGTGGGATGACAGTATCTGGGCTGGGCTAATGGGACTCATCTGTTCTAATTGGAAGTGGAGCCGGAGCCGGGGCCGGGGCCCGCCTGGGGCATATTGCTGCCATACATCAGCCTGTCTGAGGGTGTGTATGTGTGTGTGTGCATTTCGGGTGGGGGGTGTATGTGAGGAGGTTATCTGCATACGTCAGGGCATAACTTAGTTTCCCCAGTGGAGATAGATGACTGAGGAGCCCCAGGGAGTGTTATTGGAGTTTGAAGTTTTCCTTCTCGTTTTTCATCATTGGTCTGCAGACAGGGGAGGAGGTGATGCTGGGAGACTGTAAACTGCTGCACCGCAGTGTCCTATGCGGTACGATGCACAGTATCAGAATATGCAGGAGTGTTCATATTAGTAGCAGCAGTAGTATTTAAAAAAAAGTTTACAAAGATTCTCATCCAACCAGTAAAGGTAAGCACCATACTCAAAAAAACTGCATTGTACCTAAAGGTAAAATGACAAGAAACATCAACTTCACCTATGCCTGAGGACTGAAAGGTGCTCATTGGCTCAGACAGTGTTACAAGTCTGTATTATAGAAGTGCAAGACAATAAGGAGAAGGTCAGTCATTTTCTACATTACTAGTATTTTCAACAATCCCCACACAAAGACTAAAACCAACAACGAATTGCCTCTACTCATGGTTAATGTCCGTCAGTGTGTCAGTCCTGGATCAGCTTATTTGTCTGTGCCATAGACCTAAAAAATGATTAAAGACACAACAGGGAACCACACTGCTGCACTGGGTGACACGTTTCTTCTTCACCTTAATATTTGTTAAAAATGTTGCCCCAAAAACATTTTACAGCATAGATCTTCGTGTCAGCTCTCTGCCTTGTTTGCAGTCCACTAGCTCCTTGCGCTTTCACAGAGATCTTGCACACGTGCAGCTGAATCTTGCTACTTCAGATGCTCTAAAAACTTAAGCCCATTTAGAGGGTTTGGGGCAACGTTTTTTTAACAAATATGCAGATCTGCTGTTGTGTAATAAAGAAACATGTCACCCACTGCAGTGGTGTGTGGCTGAACAACAACAGGGGTGTATGGCACAGAGAGATAGGCTAGTCCAGGTTGGAGACTGACAGACATGAACAGTGAGTTGGTTTTAGTCTCTGTATGGAGACTGTTGAAACTACTATCATTATACAAAATGCCCGGCCTTATCCTCAAACATTGCCTGGTGAGAACTTACATTGGGATGGGCAAGTGCGTCACTGTCACTGTAGACTATTGACACAGGAAGAGTGATGTCCTGAGAGTCTGCGCTTTCTGGGTCCTGCTTCACCTCCACCGGCTCTGTCTGTACCCAGAAATACACACATGTAATGATATCTGAATAGACAGTCGAGTACCAAAACACAAAATGATGCAGAGAGATTATTAAATATAAACATAAAAATATTTTAACAAGCAACAACAGTAGTAACAGGAACATTTACTGTTTAGAGTCTTATCAAATTACCACATAAAAGGTATGTGCACAGAACTAGAAATATTTCTGCCCACAAAACAATATGATATCTGTCTCACGATTCCTTACTCTACACTAACTGTCCTCACTGGAAAAGTGACACTATTAAGTACACTCAAAACAGCCAGAATGTGAATTTAAAAACTCTCGTTTTTTTTGCTGATACATACAATTGTCCCACAAAGCAAAATGGAACAGAATCACTACTCATGACCAGAACACATTAGAATAATTTGAAAATACTGCAGCACCATAAAGATGTTTTGTTTTCCCCCAAATAGCAACTTAATGGATGCATTTTATCGTGCAATGCATAATTTCCTGCTGGTGTAAAACACTTCTGTAAGCCGAGTGCAAACACTGCAAAATATATGACAATTTGTATATATTTCACACCGTGTACAACTACTATGTAGTCTTGAATTGGGACGCAAAAGAACTATAAATGCAATATGACAGTTGACCAGTAGATGGGGGTGAAAGATTGGTGTACGCAGTAAACCAGTAGAAAGTAGAGTACTGATAGTAATCAGCTTGTATCCTGAATTTTATTCTCATTGATCTGTATATGTAATAAAGTGGAGGAAAACCATGAAACTATGACTAATATACTGCAGTTCTCCTGTGAGCTGCTAAACCAGCAGCAGCACTATGAGAGGCCTGGCTTCAGCTAGGTGTATTAGCTTCTTTTTATGGTGGTAATTACTGAAGCTAAAACATATACATATTAAAGAACTGCTTGTCTTTATGACAGTTTAGTGTAGCCACTTTTTGTTTCAGTCACAGGTGAAGGGCTTTTTATGAAAAGGACTCAAAGTAAGGATGAAGAGTTTCTGTCCCCCTAATGTGGCCACGTGTATAGTCCAGGCTGACAGAAGTGAATGTGATAATTGGAGCGACTCTTCCTCCATCCCTGGAGGCATTACTTTAAGCTATAATAAGCCCCATATTTGACGGATGGCCTGTTCTCCTTGTTGTACCTGATGAGGAAGAAATATCAAAATGAATACTTTCCCAGGTCCATTCATGTTTCAAACACTTCTGACACTAGCCCTGCAGCAAATGTTTACCCAGGTGGAAAGAGTTTTTTTAAAATTCATTTGGCAGGACACAAAAAGTGAGCGAGATATAAAACACACTGGCTAATAAGCATAGTGAAGTGCCGCAGATCAGACAGTATAACTGATCATTGCACTTCTTTGGAGTGACAAGCTGAATAGGCGTTTCTAATGAATGCAGCTAGTTTGGGGGGGGGGGGGGGGGGGGGGATGGGGCTGATTATCAGTTTATTTTAGTGGCAAATTTTCCAAATATCTGTTATACTATAGTTAATGTTTAAATGTTTATTTACAGGTAACTAAATACATTTTCTCAAGTACTGTATTTAAGTACTGTACTTGATTATTTTCATTTTCTGTTACCTCATACTTTGACTTCACTACATTTTTGAGGCAAACATTGTATTTCTTACTCCACTACATTTATTTTATAACTTTACTTCCTAGTTACTTTTCAGAATCAGGTTAACTATAAACAATACAATATAATCATCTCACTTTATTGATCCCTGGTGGAGAAAAACCCACCACTACTTCAAATTACAAACAAATAAGGTAGTTAAAACTAGCTCCACCTTTACCAGCCGCAACATCAAATGTAATGTACACAATAGTGCATCAATAATCATTGCCCACTAATAATATACAGATTAATGTGAAATGTGCCACATTCTATATAATGAGTGCTTTTACTTTTGTTAAGTGTATTTTGATGCCAATACTTTTGAACTTCTACTTAAGTATCACTTGGATGCAGAACTATTACTTGTAACAGAATATTTTTAAACTGTGGTACTGTTACGTTTACTTATGTAAACAATCTGAGTACTTCTTCCATCACTGATTTAATTACTATTCTCTCATATGTGATAAAGCTAAAAGACTATGAAATCTTCCAAACTAAGGATGATTTGTCAGTAATATTTATCTACTGATGAAAACAATACCTAAGAGAATAATCTGAAAATCAATGAAGAGCTGTGATAAAAATGTGTAAACTTCAATTTGTATTTAATGAAAGCTGCTCTGTTTCTTTAAACTGATTAAGACACTGTAGAACTGTCGCCTTCTGTACTTCAAATAATATTTTAATCAAAATTTTCAAGTATTTTTCTAAATTATGCTTTGTGATGTGATTTCAGATGTCCATGTGGTATTCTTATAGATGGATGATCACCTGTTTGACATGTCAGAACAGACTTGTCTGCACAATTAAACTTGGTGAAGTTGGGGGATCAATGTGTGAACAAGGCTTTAAACACGTTCACTGCGCATGCGCAGTCTGTGCAGTCTGTCCAGGCAAGGGTAGATTGGCTTAGCCCAGCCTGAGCTGCAGCCACATGGGTCTTGACATGGGTCAGACTCACCAAGTTGTGTCCTAAAAGTCTGCGCAGCGTTGCTGTCACATGTTGTCGCCTGTCTTTTCAAAACAGCCATGAGCCCCAACAAATCAAATTCCTGCTCCTTCAGAGACAGGAACATTTCAATAATGACTTCTGTGTTTTGTCTGCATCTGCACAACTGGGGGGAGCGGGGGGAGCGAGCAAGAGAGAGGAGGGCTGGTGCCTGCTGTGGCTTTTGTGTGGGTGCTGCTGCTGGAGGCGGCGAACAGTGGAGCGTCTGATGAAACCGTCTCAGGTTGGAAACAAACGGCGCTGAATGAGAATGTTTGATTTGGTCTGGGCTGTCTCTGGACAGACGGCACAGCGTTGCAGAGAGGGAAATTTAATAAGAGACTGAGTGAAAAGACAGAGAGAGTGAGGGGCAGGGGGAGAAAGAGAGACAGAACGCACCTTTATATCATCCCGGGATGATTTGAAAGCCTGAGGAACAAAGGAATCACTCTCGATGGCCTCAATCTCCTTTATCCTTCGCACTTGCTCCTCCAGAGAAGTTCCCTCTGCAACGGGTTAGACAGAAAGGAGGCGATGAACAAAAGCACAGACACATGCACACACATGTACACAGACACACAGAGGGTCAACTGTCCCTTGTCATGTTCTAAAAGTAACCAGAATTAATTTGGACTTTGTATGTTATCTCTCTGTATAATGCTCGTTGACACATGCAACATGAAATATCTGATATTCCCCTGTTTTAATCTTGGCCTCCATGAAAAGAACTGTTTGCTTAGCCAAGGTCAAAAAAAAAAAAAAAAAACTTTCAAAATAAAAACCGAATTACTCTCAGATAATGCATTCTAAAATAATCAAAAATATGAACACAAACTTTCTGCAATGGAATTGCATTACAGGAGACTAAATGTGATTAGGTTTCATATAGTTTTCATGTATCAGAAAATATTTTACTCCGGTTTGTCAAACAAAAAGACAGAAAGGGTTTCCAGTAAATTACTCTTGGATATAAACACATCAGGATTCTGCATATCAGATAATAAATCACTTCAAGAATTCAAGAGCAGTCTTCGTAGCGTAGGAGGGCAAAAATAGGTGTGCCAGGAAAGTTAGCAACAGGAAGAAAGAGACAGGCTGAATGCACCCATTATTCTCTGGCTGTCAATCTTTCCACTGATCAGTCAATATTCATCCCTCTCTCCCCCATCCATCCGTCCTCTCCTGCACTCTCCTATCTCTCTATCTGTCAATCCAGCAGACATCCATGTGTCTCTGCTCCACTGATGTAGGCTGTGTCATGAAAACAAGTACACAAATGGGAACACACACACTCACTCCCTCACACAGAGATCATCGGGATACAAGTACTCCCACATGTACTTGTGTGTCTGCAAACTTGCGTACTTTACAGTCACACTCGTGGCTCGGATAAATCTGTACATGAGGTGTGTGTGTACACACACACACACACACACACACACACACAAACATATACGCAATTGGAGCTAATGGCAGGAATTAATTCAATCCATTAGCAGCTACAATAAGGGTGTCACAACAGATCTTCATGGCCCTGGTGTTTAATGAATAAATGAATATTTGTTCGGGCTTTCACAGCAAAGCATCGCACACACAACCTATTACAGTTCATAATAGCACTCAAACAAACTCGGTTTTGATTCAAATGCACTGCAGTATTGGACAACTGAGTGACAAGTGGAATTAAGCCTTCCTATATGACAGACTATCAGCTTGTCATCCTGTGCGGGAAGATGGGAGCAGAGACGCATTGCACAGCAGCTCCAAAAATAGCCATTAGCTTGACTGGGTTGCTAGATGAAGTCTGAACACTGGCCCAATATCCTCCTGGAGACTGTGGCCTGTCCTTCACACCACTATCACCGTGGCTCGCTGCATTGCTGCATGAGCGTGTGCGTGTTCGGATGAAAACTACAGTCTGTGACCGGCCGACAATTAATTCCGCACAATTAATTTACTTTTTCCAATTAGCTCTTCTCTGCTATTGAGCTTGAATGCCCTACACAAACACACACAAACTGACATTTATCTACACACATTGCCCATATCTGCTAGCATCTCCTTGGCAGGCCCCTCTGTTGCCGAGCTGCCCGTGTGCGGTGCAGGAATCCATTAAGACCTCAGACTTTTTGACAAACACATTATTGGTAGATAAAATGACTTCCATATGCTGTTTGTCAGATGTCAGCGGGAAAAGATATGTATTTCATGAGAAAATCAAAAATAATGGACTTTGAGTGTGGGCCTAGCAAGCTTAGAGGCAGACGAAAATCAATACTCTAGCTGGGCGAGCGCACTCTGCAGCTCGGAGAGGTCAAAGTTGATATTTAATATTGACACATTATCTGGCAAATTAATTTAACAGGTCGACTCAATTGTCATCACATTAGGAACGCTTCTGTCAGTGCGAGGATAAAGTGGAAGCTGAGAGAGAGAGAACACAAACAGCAAGAGACAAAGGAAGAGAAACAGAAGTAGACAAATGAACAGTATGCATTACTTTAAATGGGGTTTTATCTTTGTATGGCATTTCTCTGGATGCTGAAATGCACTACAACATCACCACAATCCAGGAAACATACAGTACTTCTGTTTTATATCTGCAGATTAAACTAAAGTATAGTGACTGAGCAGTGCATGTTAACATTTGTGTCCTTGCTCTCTGTGTGTGTGTGTGTGTGCTCATGTATAAAAGAGGGAGTCAGAAAGCTCACTTGCCTTCTCATTACTGAAATTAGCAGGACAGACAGTGGTGCTGATGAGTGGCTCTCAATCAATAGGCAATTGTTCTCTCTAAATAGCTGTTTGTCCACTTCATTGATTAAGACCAGAAGATGGGGAGAGAAAATCAAACCAGCCAATGGAAACAGATTTCAGCTCATCTCCTTCAACCTTGAAGAGGAGCGTTGTGCAGTAGTTGCACGTCCCCACCAGAAGAGGGAGCTGTTCAACAACACATGTCCATGCAAGCAGAGCCCTTGGGCTATGGCAGCATTGTCTTTGTAAACCTGACTTTGGTCTACAGTTTGTCAATCAAGAGCAGCCAAGCTGAATATATTGCTGCTGCTGATTAATTCCAGTAATTGAGTGCACTAGCGTGCCAACTAAATTACCGCAGCACTTCTTGTTGTTGTGTGGAGAAAAATAAATAAAAGGAAAAATAACTGCTTGTTATATTGAGGTCTTGCGAATTGCGGCAAATCTTTGACAGTGTTCTGGAATTATGTGGCAAACAGAGAGCTGAAAGGCATTTAATGGCAGTATTAAAAATGAACAGGCCCTAGCAAAGAAAGGACAAACTGGGATGCTGTTATTTATGTTGGGGCAATTTGACTTCAGCACAATAAACTACAAGAAACACAGTTGGGACTCATCATGTCTGAGGAAAGATGACTCCTGTTTTAATTTGGCCAGTTTAATCAAAGAATATATTTCCTATTTATTCAAATTCACAAAGACTTGTTTTCCATAAAACTTTTATATTTTGTTCTCTGTGTGGCTCTTTAAGGAGCACACCACAGACAGTTCACTGCAAACCCAACAGTGATACAAGGCAAAGTTCTGCGAATTCATGAGGATAAACGTGTTTTGTAACCCATGCTCGGCTTTCACATGTGCATGCTCACACACAGTAAGGTTTCGATAATGTACTCTCCCCTCCGCTGCCCCCCCCTGCACTGCGGTAAAGATGTGTAATTCAATGCTCAATTTAGGCCTGTCTCAGTGGAGATTTTTTTTTGCTTGCTAATTGATAGAAATTAAGCCATTAATCAAGCCACTAGCCATCATTCAACCCGGGGAAGATGAATACAAACTTTCATAATAACCACCTTCCCCATTTTAGCCCTCATTAGCATTAATTTTTAATGTAATTATGCTATTCTTTTACACTGAGCTCATAAATTACTGCTCTTTTGTTGCCGGCTGGCCTTGTAAAATCCAAAGTAATGCTTTGTAGTCTGATCTTTAAGGCAATTACTGGCTTCTTCACTCTTTTATCTCCCTGCATTTCCAATAACCTGCTCTCTAATGATTTATCTCTGCTGCACCCTCCACCCCCACCCTCCCCATCCCCCAAAATCCTCTTCCTCATTCTCTCTCTCTCTCTCTCTGCACCAGCGGCCAACTGCCCCGCTGCCAGCCTCCGCCTCCAATCCCCCATCCGCCCACATTCTCCCCATCTCTTCGCATCAGCCCCAGAAACATCAGGGATGTGCACAAACACATGCACGGACGCTTGCCTCCACAAACTTAACTATATTAACACGTGTATGAGTGGATTCAGGGCGTGTGTGCGTGCAGTAACTTGGTTTAGTATCTGCTTTAGTCATTTTCCAGCTCACCCTTCATTAGTGAACATCCAGCTCCAGCAATGGCCACAACACCTGGGGAATGCCAAGGTAAGAGACTGCTGCTCCATCTCTCTCTCTCTTTCTCAGCTGGTCTCCTGTGGGTCTTACCTGTAGGCTAGCTGCTCTTGTTTATGTAACCCCTGAGCTGGGTAAACACACACATACATGCATGCACACGGGCACACATTCGCAGAGCTTGGCATCAAACAGCTGAGTGAAGCTTAGCAGGACTGTGTGCTAGGAGCGATAGAGGGGCTCCAGTCTGGCCACAGCAACCTGGCTGCTTCAAAGTCTCTACTATTTGATTCTCTGGGCCCAAACAACAGACTGCTCCTGCGCATGCCTGGGAAATGGACTGAAAAATAACAGATATAATGACCAAAAAAGGTTATTTATGAAAATCTGACTGATGAAATTTCATCATCAGAACCAAATGACTGAGAAATTTTGTTGTGCTTTATATTACACTATCATTAAAACAAGTAAAGAAGAAAAAACCTTAAGTGTGCTAATGAGGTATTCTATTGATAGGACAGGCAGGTTCAAGCCAGAACCATCAAGTCCGACCTTTGGCTCCACATCTACACAGAAAGCCAGACAAGCCAACTTATGTTATTAAAAAGGTGTCTGGTGTTGGCCTTGGTTTGGTAATACTTTTAGACTGTATTGATTAGCGGCTGCTGACAGGTTCTGATGTTAGCCCTGGAAATGCATCAAGTGGCTAATGAGCAGCTATTAGGCCTATCGATTAGCTGATTTCAATTGATAGCTAGCAGGCCAAAGCTGCACATCAATATTTGCATAACTAATACCCTACAGCTTCTGGCACTGAAAATGAGACATCACTGAGCATTGGTGACAGAAAGGACAAAGACAGAAGAAAGAAAGACAGGAGATGAGAATAATGAGGGTAGACAGCAACCTAGAGGTATGAGTAAGAGAAACACCTTGACTATCAAAATAATGCATCAAACTAATAATCAGAATGTGTTTTCTCTCCCCATGTGTGTGAGTCTCTATGTTCTCTCTAAGGAAGCAGCGCCGCAACAATAAAACGATGTGACAGAGATACTTGTGGCAGCGGGGGTCGACAGGTTACACAAAATGAAGGCAAATTCTGACAGGCCGAGCCAGATGTCCCAAGTGCATCCGCA